TGCCGTTCGGCTGTTCAAACTACTTTTAGAAAACAACAAACTTCCCAAATTTTAATTTTTAATAAAGGTATAAGGGTAGGAATCCAAATTGTACGCCATGCAAATGGAGTATTTCACTGATTTTAACACGATGATTGTGAAGTAGTGTCTAGTGAGTCCGAGGGCTAATGCTCCATCGTAAAAAGTCTGAAATTGAAAACAAAAATCTTATATAACTGGCTAGTACACATTTTTAGTTATTTTATTGAGTTGTGAAAAAGCACAAATTTGTTTCTTCTTGTGTGTTATACTCTCATCCACTGAGTGTTTTCAGTCTTTCCGATATGCCCATCGGATAGCGGAAGTTAACGTAAATGATCGATTACCTGAAAAGAAGCTACGATCCTAACTTTCCACCTTCGGATCTTTTCCCTAGCCATAATTTTTTACCTCAAGGAATTTTCCTCTGCTTTACATAATAATTGGTCTTGCATGCTTATCGATTTTGAGAGGCCTGGTCCTGTGCCGTATTCTGATACGATCTAATTTATGTAGCTTGGCCCCATCTAACAGCTCCTTACTAAATAAAAACGGTTTCAATTGAGTCTATTCAAAGAACTAGCCAATATTTTTCCAGCGGTACGCACAATGTTCCTAATTCCCCCAAGTCCCCGTCTTAAGCGCTTTCATGTGCATTGGTTAAATTTTCTTTTCATAAGCTACAACGCTCATAATCGCGCATGCTGATGTCATTTATGCTTAAAAAATTAGTTTATCGAAGAAAGAGTGAATTAAAGGTGTCATGAGGCGTTTGTGATTTTATGAACCATTTGACGCGGTCCTTTTCTTACGGCTTATGTCCGTTGGTGAAATTACTACTTGGGTCTTCTTGGATTGAAAAGGACGGGCTCTTTCTAAACGTGGAGTTGTTTATGGGACCTCAGTATTCAGAACAGAATCAGTCGATGGCAAACAACGAAAAGGCATTTATGTGGTAAGTTACAGTGATGAACCTTGCCTCGAGATGGTCATATTTTTGTACATACCTTCAGTGTTGGTCTGAAAATTTTTTGTTATGGATGGGGGGGGGGGGGGCGAGAGCGGGGAGATCAGAACATGTACCTCGTGTTGTTTACGAGACATCAAAGTAATGAAAACTGTTAAACAGTCTTCTACAAAATAGTTGCAAATGCTTACGGGAGGCTCTAACTATATGATGATTAGAAGGGCAATATTTGTAAAGGTGCATGATCGTGGAGTTCAGGAGATTTGACTAATCAGCCAATTTCCAGCCAAACATAAGGGCGTGGCCAGTGGCCCCAAAATGATGTTCGCTCGCCCCGTGCTGGGTCGACTTTTGGGATACGCTCATGGAGTTATACAGCTATTTCGAGAAAGGTTGTCGGAAAACATGAGCACGCCACAATCCCGAAATGTAATATGGGATATGATCAATAAACTGTTCCTGACACTGTAGCTGTCGAAATTACTTTTGTTGCTTCCCTTTAATACTCGCAAACATATGTCCATGGCCTCTTGTGCCATTCTTTCAAATTTTGTTGAAGAACTGTGAACTCAGTACTACCCACAATACCTTTCGGCATTGTTGCGTGCACTTTTTCCGCCAGCCTTTCTCGAAATAGCTGTAAACAGTGAGTTCATCATCTATATAGCCTGCTTGCCCCAAAGTGACTGAATTTCGCTTTTCAGAGACCCGTCAGTTACTGTATGACCCTCTCGGATCAGATTTTATGTCCGTGATGTAATACTGGTGGTGAGGTCAGTCCACAAGCAGAGTCGTGAAAAACACCGACACTTGAGCCTTTACGTTCAAGACATTCCTGGCCATCGGAAAAAAAAGAAGGAGCTTTTAAAAATACTAAAATAAAATGTCATTTTAAATTTTACTTTGTCACCGTTCGAAAATTATTGTGAATTAGACCGAATGAAAGTTCGCTCAAAGAGGGGGAGGGGCGGGGGGTGGTAGTTCTTAACAGTTCTAGTTTGCTAGAAAATTAAAAGTTACGAAAAAATACTGGTCGAACTGCAGAATACATGCAAGAATGAGGAAGAAAGTAAGAAACAACTTCCTGTTCAAAGTCGGGTTAAACGTTTAATAGCGTCAACAAGACTGAACTTGATTAAGGTTGTTAATTTCAGTTCCGTTCCAGCATGCAGTTCCTTGTCCTCCTAAAAATAGCTTCGTCTCCCAACGATCATTCCATGTCATATTTTTCGGACTTATTATTCAGTAATGACGGTACGATCAGGTAACTTGACTTGATGAGTTCTTTAATTTCATTTCATGTACTAGTTTTATATCTTACGCCGGAAAGATCTGCCAAATGTACATTAGCAAAGGTAGGTTCCTGTTTACACGTGTAATATTATCGAACACCATATAATTTGCATAAAGCTGCAGCTGCTGCAGTGCACGGTTTGTTTTTCTAGCCTTTTGATAAAAATTGACAACGTTTGCGTTATCTTTGCCTAAGTAAATATGTAATTTGTAACTGTATACAGCGAAATACTACAGAGAAAATTGTAACTGTGCAGTACACGAGCGGCTCCCTATTGGTCTGGCAAATCGAAGAGCGAACTCGAGCTAGTACCGTGTGTAACAAAATTTATAATTTTCATTTTAGCGCATATTTCAAGCTCTTCGCAAGATCAGAATCAAAAGATCATCTTTTTACATTACAAGGGAGGGTTTTTAAGCGATAGATAGGCTTTAAGAGGCACGATCAATTTTTAAAGAATTTTCTTTTCAAATATTCACCGAATTTTGTTTGGAAATTTTAGCGGCCAAGTGGCTGAACCATGGCGCATTCATGCAATTATATTTCTGCTCCGTTGCATTTGCCCAATAATTTTATTCAACAGTCTAACTTATCTATAAACAAACTATGTTTAGTTAAAATGGCTTAGTCTAAATCGATGTGGCATGGGTGATATTGACCTTCCAATTTCTACCAAATTTGTGTACCTTTTAAGTACCGAAAAAGTGCTGTGAGAAGTTATAGCCGTTCGTAGCTCAGGCTAAACCATTTTCAGATAAGAGTAGGTAAATGAAAGGAGGAAGGATAGTTCTTTGCAACTGTATGAGTCACGATTAAATCATTTCAATGATAAGGCTAGAATTAATTACTGTAAATCTCGTTCAGTTCACCAACATGGCGGCCCCTCGAGGCCTCGTCAAAACTGTCATTCTGTATCTTTGAAACCAAAGAGAATTCGAACCTTAGAATATGCATTCAGTATTTAGGACACCATTCTAAGACTACATGCCGAAAATCAGCCGAATCGATGAGGTACCGTGTCCGGCCGAAGTTCGAATTTTACAGAAAATCACTCTTAATGCCTTATTTGCAATAACGAATCAGAGCGCAGCTACGGTCATGCTCATTTACCTATGCTTTTTGACGTTCTGATGAAATCTTTGACAGCAATGGCGGAAAGGGAGGGGGAATTATCGGAGTCATCGGATGATAGTTCCGCAAGTTATGATGTCCTTTATAGCGAGTCAATAACATCTTCTAATCGGCTCCTAAGCAAGGCTCTGCTCACAAGCATCCGTTTTCATTTACGCTTTCCAAAGATTGGCCATTCATGCATTCACACTCAACGGCTAAAAACGGTTTTGACTGATAGTTACTACCCTATTTTGTATCTCGTGGCATATGGTCGTAGCGAGTGTTTATTGCACGAAAGTTAGAGCAACGAACTCACACGGAAACGCTTACTACTGGCTAGCCTTTGTAATCTAGTACAATTGGCATAGACTGCTAGCAGTCTGCCTTTTCTCTTAGATCCGTCGAGTTCTCAGACGGGGTGAGCGTGTAAGCACTAAAAACGCAGGAAAGGGTGCACTCGGTCTGCCTTGAAGGAACTAGTATTGGAGGTCTTGGACTGTTGCTGTCCAATTTTACGTCTCGGACGTTACTACTCAACCAAACTGTTCACTCGAGCATCCCTGTACTATCGTCGTGTAACTTAGACCCACGAAATTCGTAGGACGCATTGTGCATGGATGTCGTAAGTGAAAATTGTGCGCGTGTGGATGTTCAAAAGTCATAACGTATGCTAGTCGCGCACGATAGTCGTAAGCAAAAATCGTACCGTCCAAATCGATCTTTAGAGTTCCTAGGTCTTCTGACTTAGCGTGAGCGGCAAGGGGTGACGGGCCGGCAATCGATCCCTGCATCTTATAAGATCAGATGAAACTGTCAGTTTACATGTTTAAATTCTCCAAACCGTTCTACAAACTTTTCCTGTGGTAATAATTAAGAGAATTTGTCCAACAATCAAGAGCTTTTTCATCTTGTTAATCATATCCTTCATTCCCACAATCTTAGTGTTTGATTAAAGAGCGCTACTCTAAAGCTACGGTAATAGGGGCAACAGAAACATGCAACCTGTTTTGCAACACTGCTGCAAAACGAGTTGAGAAGCAATGACGCTCGTTTTTCCAGCCACGTTTAAACATGTCTTTCAACATATGAGGTTGCTGGGAAACGTTTTTGCAACAAGCAGAGAACAGTTCTACTTTTACGCAACAAAATCTGTACATGTTGCTCGTTTTACCGGCCCAAGGCAAACTTGTCTTGCAGCATAGTTACGTAATCTCCATGTATGGCGTGATTCCCGCGTTATTTTATCCAATCAGAAGTCCGCATTCACGCGACCTGCAGCCGGGAACCTAATTTGTTGTAAGACAGGTTTGAACGGGGCTGGTAAAACGCGCAACATCACTTTTTGCAGCAACGATTCGAAACAAGTTGCACGTTATTGTTGCCCGTTTTACCGCAGCTCAAGGAGAAACTGGTTAGTTAAGGACTGTATATTTTGGTGGTTTAAGTCTTCTCTGCTTGCGATGGGCATGCCCGCAAGTAGCCATAAATTACAAATGAAGCCGTTTATTCTACATACTTTAAGAATATGTACTCTAAGAGCTCTAAGAGCGTACTCGAAAGTTCTCGATTGACGATTTCATCGATTGCACAAGTCCGGCCAAATCACATTTACACATTTTTTAATTCGTCCAGTCTGCGCGTATCCAGTTGCGGATGGTCGGAGAGGTAGTCGTTAAACTTTATTTCACAGCCATCTTCAATCATTTTTTGTAAAATCCTCGCTATGTTACGAGCATCGTCCATTCCGCTATGAGCGCGCCCTTCGAATTCCATTCCAAGATTGGTTACCATTTTTTGAAGCGAGCCTTTTGCAACTTTGTAGAAATTCCTGTACAATTTTCTCAGATCAATCCACTTTCTCGCAAACTTGGGTACAGGTATCGAACAAAGTCTGCACTGCGTTGAGAAGAAACGACCCATGTCCCAGGGACTAAAAAAAATACAAAGGAAGGAGAATTAAGTGTCTCTCTAGAATTAACAATTTCCAGAAACGTTGTACACCAAAAAACTAGTAAGAAGAAAACTGAGAAGATTACTTACCCATCTGTAACTACACCAAATTTATATTTTGTTCCAAGTTCTTGCCCTCTAAGCCACTGCTCAAATCTGGAGAGGACATCTGGGAAGGAGTCTGCATTGTCCACTAATTCCTTAGAAATGACAAATAAATAAACAAACCGATTCAACAAGAACAAAAATAAAGTGAGATGTTTTGCTTGGCATGTGATCAGATTTGATTGACGACACTGACATCATCACTTATCAGGGAGTCAAAAGACTTTTCACAAAAAGTTAACAAAAAAGTACTAGGATTATAAGTAACAGCAATGTATCAAATTAAAAGAAGGACCATTCAGCTATCATTAGAGGCATATGGTTGTTATTTAGGGCTTAAATGGGGTTTTAATCCTATCAAACAATGCCTTTTAAAAGTTGTTGAGAGGAGTAGTGAGTTTTGCACACATAGAAAAAACCTCTGCTACCCAGGGTAAGCCACAACTTAAGAATGAGGCAAATGGTTCAAACTTGAACTAGCAACTACAGTCTGTGGAAGCGCTCTTAACAGACATTCTGGTGAGTGGACAGCTCTACAAACTGGCGGTCTTCACAAAATCTCGTTTTAACTTCCATACAAACTCTGTATTTTTACATTCTTGTACGTGGACATACCCACAAGCAGCCAAGGACACTTTCAGAAGGCAGACAACCAAAATGAAATCTCATTCACGTCTGAATCTTGTATTTTAATCTGAATCTTGACTCCAAATCACTGTTCATCACAATGAATTGATGCCAGTTATCAGTGCTTGTATTTTTTTCACATACAATATGGGTAACACCTCAAGACATCCCTTGAATTTTAGGCTTGTGACTGAATTGTAACATTCCCAGAACAACAGTATAGCCAAAAAGTAACAAACAGTTTTTTTTGCATTTGCAAAGTTTACTTGTAGCTGGGCAAACTCCCGTAAGCTGCCATATAACCCTTACACCCCTTGTAGCCGCATATGATCAACTATTCTTGTAAGCGGCCAGCTCCAGTTACGGACACCTTTTTCGTATCCTGAGGGTGTCCATTTACGAGAGCTTCCACTGTACCATGGATGATAATGACACCACACCCACCTGTGAAATTCCCGTGAGTTCCTGGCAAAACTGTGACAATTGTGACTTGAACTGTGGTTTGCAGTATTCATGAAATTCAGATACCTAGCAACAACAACATGCATGTATTAACACCCAAACTATAAGCACGTTGACAACACCGCTTGTCTTTGAAATACTCAAAAGGCTGCCCAATGATCACAACCAACCACAATTGAAGGTTTTGGATGTCTTGTAAGGCTTAGTTGTTTAGTGATAAATCATGCTAAAACAGCATTGACCTTCTGAAAAAATCATTGTTTACTTTTGAATTAAGCAATTTTTAAGAAGTATGCAATTTTCCTTAAATTTTGTGATTGGATCTGATTTGAGGCCAGTATTATGAAAAATCACACCATCGCATAATATGAGCCCTGCAAAAACTACTACAAATGTCCACCTTTTTTTTGTAAATAAACTTGACTGGTTCAGTTTGTTAAAACTCTTGTTATTAGTATCATGATTGTATTTTGCTATATTTTGAATAGGTGCCCAGTTTAACTTGTGCTTCAATATTCAAAGGATGTGGGTGCAAAACCCACTTAAGCAGTGTTCTTCTTATCAGGCACGCAACCAGTAAAATAAGCAACACTTAATTCTTACTGCTGCAACTGCTTGAAGGTTTACTAAAATTAAATAAGTAGTTTTAAAAAATACGCAAGTTGTGATCCTATCTGATCAAGGAAATAAATATGAATGAATATATGAAAAAGTACTAATGTATATACGGTTTTTCTTTTTATGGGCCACACATTTTGGAAAAGAACATTGTAGACAGAATGAAATTTAATTGGGATCAAACGTTTTAAATTCATTGTAGTCTAAAGATAACAATGGCTGATTTGTGTAAAATAGGTCTTAAAATGAGGGAATGATGTTTCAAAGAACTAATTAGCTCCTCCTCCTGGGGTGGGACCATGACCCTCACTTCATTACCCCGCCCCCCCCCCCTGCTTCCCCCAGGAAATTGTGCCTCTGGTGCATATATTTTGCCTAACTGGCCATGAATGGTCCCTTACCTGCTTACCTAAAAATTAGGGGGAACACTGCACACTAAAATTTAGGGGCACCCAGCAATGGTTATCTTGTAAATTCATTGAAAACACTTTTAGGCTATCCACAGTATTTAAAAAACTCTACAAATGCATTCTAGTAAATGGCACTATAAAATTTGTATCTTTTCAGTCATCCTAAGGTAACTTAAGTCTTTTCAAAAGTGCAACTTTGGGCTTTTAGTTTTATTTTCCCAAAAATTTTAGATGAAACTTAAAATACTTTTCTAAGGTGAGAAAATTTTTTGTTTCTTTCTTGTACAAAATACAGCTTAATCTGGGGAGGGAAATATGAAAAACTGGGGTTCAGAAAACTGTACGGAATATATAAGATAAACTTCCAAAATAGTACATGAATGGAACAGGCATGTAAATATTTTTAGCCACCCTCAAGCTATAGAAAATTATAGGCGATATTTGCTTCTCCAAATGGATGATTTACAGGAAACAGTAACTGTTGTTCGGTGCCCCTACTAATTTCACTTACCACTTCAAGTGTAGTCGCATCCACAAGGACAGCAGGAAACTCAATAATCTCATGAATGTAGTCTTTGGGATTTTCTTCTTCACATGTCCCTTCAAAGTCAATAACACAGTAAAAGTGAACTTCATTCATTCTCTTTTCCTGCACTAGTTTAGCCTGTACCAGTTTCTCTTTCTTGATGTGGTTTTTTAGTCGTTTCTGCAGAACTTCCTTCACTCCCCTATTTGTTAATACAAAGGAAAAAATGGATTACACAAAAATGAAACAGCATTGTTACAACAGGAAACATCAGATTGAGGACTAAATGTTTAAAATCTGTTGGGAAGTCCTTCAGATTTATGGCTTTATAGAGATGGCCCCTGCCTAGAATCAACCTAGCGATGGCAGCTTGGATGGAAAGGCACAAAGCATTTCTGTCAAAAGCCTTAGCAGTCCAATACTTGGCATCTTACCATCCACCAAGCCACCAGCTCCCTTGAAGCTACTTGCCCTGCTACGCTGGAGGGAATGCATCTAAGGGGGGAAAACCTTGTTCAAGCTGCACCCACCCCTGATTAGACATTTCCCTTTGACAGCTGCTGGAGTAGGACCTGCCAGTCTTTATCGGCCTTGCCAGCCACTAACATGCCTGCACTAGGACATATATGCCTTATTGGGGTCAAGATGGCAGGATACTGGCTAAGTTCTTTTTCTCACATTTTTATGGCCTGACACGAAGTTGTGGTCAATAATAAATTATGCAAACTAGGGTATCTAAAAGATAGTAATGCTGCGGCACATTCTGTTGATACTGGCATTAGTTAGGCAGTGAGACTTAAAAGAATCAAAAATGACATTGAATGTCCTATTTACATGTTGGAAAGTACCAGAATAATTACTATCAGTCTATAGAAAGAACTCGTGGGAACGTTGTTTAGAAAATGATCAAGTGGTTATCAACTCTGGTTTTCCCACAGTAAATTGTAGGAAATAATAGAAATTCAGATTGTTTATCCATATATTTAATATACGGTGCACGATATTTTCTTTGGAAACACAATACTTTTCTTGCTGTTTGTTGCAATTTATTAAGTAACAGTTATTTAGCTATATATTTATAGAAAACAACAACACAAAAAACGGAAAAAAAAAAGAAAGTAGAAATAAGTAATTCGGTAGGACTCGAACCCGGCACCTTCGACTCGGCGCGACTATACCTAACCACTACACCACAGAGGCTGATTACGTAATCTTTAGGAAAAGTCTTTCATTTTATTCCTTTTCCATGAAACTTCCGCCGGCAAGATGATCGCCAGCCGCATTAACCGAGCTATTAACAGTGAAAAAACAATGTAAACGCATATTCCAAGGCAATGAATGAATGAAAGAACATAATTATGCTTTTCAAAACGCCGATACACGTCCTCGTCTGCAAAGTAGGACACAAAACATATGTTTTGTTATCTCGATTTCCGCTGTTTAATATTTTGAAGTGAATGGTCAAAATCACATCCATTTTCGGCTCATACAATTTCTTAAGAATAGCATTGCATGACATTTTCTCACTTTCACATCACCTTCTAGCAAGCTGGAATTTGTATATTCCCCGTGTTGAGGAGTCGAAGAGCAAATGCTCATCTTCTCGTCAGGTTTAACACCTGGACGAGTCAAAGGCTTTTGAATTGAAATCCAATCCCCAAGATAACCATCGTACTCATCTGAAAGACTCCTGCGTGTCTTAAAATTTGGTAAGACCGCTAACCGTGCTGTAGAAAATTTGCCACAAAGAAAACTCTAAGTCTGAGCAGCAAACGATGCACTCTCTCACCCACCGAACTTCCCCGTGTTTTTATTTGAGTTGTTCGTGGCGCAATGCACTCTGGTTAAATGCAATGCATTGTGGTAAAAAGTGTGGTTAAATGCAAGGCATTGTGGTAAAAAGTGATGAATTCGAGAATTCATCGCCCCTTATATATTTCTTTTAAATCCTGATTATGTTGCTGCTCGCTCCCTTCGGTCGCTCCGCAGCAACAAGTACTGCGGCCAATATCCAGCCATCTTGATCTCGCCTTCCTTGAAAATCCCAAGCGAGCAAGGTAGTCTCATCTTGCCCGCTTGCAGAACCAGCCTGATTATTTATTTATTTATATGTTATAATTCACAAAGGTTTCCCATCACCGTGAATGTGCAAAAAAATTATAATAATTAATAATAAATAATATAATAAAATGATGTATAAAAATCAATGAAGGAGAATAAAATAATGATACATGTACTAGTAACAGCAGATTTAAATTGTCCACAGAAGGCTGATCGAATAAAAAAGGAAGGTAAAGTGTTCCATCCTTTTAGAGCTCTAATAAAAAAAATTGTACTTATAGGTATTGCTGTTACTAGCAATGCTTATAAACTTGCTGCTATGGTAGGAGTGTGTAACACGGGTTGGGCGTACAATGTACTCTGGAATATTGACCCTGATTTTATTGTTCACTATTTTGTACATGGTGGTAAGTCGTGCAATTTTGTGTAGACCTCCGTTCTAATGAGTGCCACTGTTCAAATCATTAAGGAGATTAGTGACTGTTCTGGGTTCCCCCTTGTAGCAGTTTTTTTCAAATCTGGCAGCTTGCCGCTGTACTCTTTCAATATCGTGGCAATGCTTTTAAGTATGTTGGTCCCACACCCTGCAGGTGTATTCCAGACAAGGATGAACAAGGGTGAGGTGGGCCTGACTTTTAACATTCTCAGGACAGGAATAAAGATTACGTCTGATGAAACCAAGGGACCGGTTAGCCTTCCCTATAACGTTTTCTACATGAAAGCTTCAATTCAAAGTGGAGGACAGCCCGACTCCCAAGCAAGGATCATGAGATATAGAGTCCAAAGGAGTTCCATTCATTGTATACCAGTGTGCAAAGAAAGTAGTGTCCGATAGCCCAGGGCTGGTGGATTTTGCTATCGGGCTGATGAATTCTGTTGTTAACTTGCCTGACGGGCAAGTGAGGTTTTTTGAGCAGTTCGAATAACAGAAGAACTATGAAATCAATTCTGCTCGTCAAAAAGCGGCTGGGGCTAGTTGAAATGACATCTGGGCTAGTAAATGCTAGCTTCAGCTTGCCCGAACGGCAAGCTGTAAAAATGACTTTCTTTGCACCCTGTATACTGATGAATGATTGTGTTTGTCGACCGAAAAACCTTCAGGATAGAACTGACTTGTTCTCATTCGATCTTTGACTCTGAAGTGATCGTTAACAACAAGTGCACGTAATCTTACGCAAAATTTGTACTGAAAGAAGACTAAAGTCAAAGAAAAAAATCCTAATGTCCTTTTTATTCCTAAGGTAGAAACTTGAATTACCACATACAAGATAGATTACTTAACGATAGCTTTTCCTCGTCAGTTACAAGAAAACCTTAACAAAAAATAATCGCAATTATTGTGGTAAAAATCCATGTATGTCAATGCAAATTGAAGCGCCAAAAATTACACAAAACTCACCGTGAGTCCAAACCCCTTTCAACAAGGCAACGTTTGACTTCCTCTTTCTTCATCTTGTTAATTTGTCCATTCGTAAATGAAATTTCTCTAAAAATTGGGTGATCATAAGTTTGCTGTGAAATGTCTTCCGTTCTTTCACTTTGTTTTGGAACGCGCGGCCCTTCCGCCATTTTGGTTTCGCTTTGTAAGATAACCGCTGGACGATCGATGTATCGAAGCAGTTGCGGAAGTCGTTGCGGAAGTGAATTGATCATCGCTTTGATAGACGCCTTATACTAATAAGAGTACGAACCGATCAGCCTGCGATGGGTAGGTTTTCTCCAGGATCTGCCCTTCTGTTAATTTTGGTGTCTACTGTTTCGGTTGTTTATTTCCATAGCAAAAGGTGCCATTGTTATAAATTTCAAAGAAGAAGTTATTCAAAGTATGGATCAAAGTTTATCCCCCAAACTGGAACATTCAGCGAGTTAGCTACTCGAGGTAGGCAAATATGTTTGACTAAGACGACGGCAAACGAAAAGAGTTTGCGACTAGGTTCTAAAGCTCGAGTGTTTTGTGGATCGCAGCGAAGAGTTGCTCTCTGTCGCTGAAAACTGAAAGGACTTGCCGAAGCATTCTCTTTGTGCTGTTTCGATTGTAAGCTAGAGACAGTTTGTAAAGTTATTGAATAGCTTTATTTTGTTACTTAATCATTCAGAAAGCATATTAAGATCAAGAAACGTAAACCAACTGCAATCATGAGGTGGGGGGAAAAGAAGGAATGAATTCGTGGCACAACTTTCAGGAATGGCATAATCATGTGGAACGTAATATGACCAATATAAGTCGAATCACCCAATTTCAGAAATACAGTGAAACCTGTATTAAGCGGACACCCTAGGGGAATGCTGTAGTGTCCGCTTAATACAGGGTGTCCGCCTAATACAGGTTTCGATATATAACGTCATATGAGGTGTCAAATGCCATTCAAATGAACAGTGGAAGCGTTTATAATACTCCCACAGACTATAACGATAGACGTTTGCATTAATTTCTTAATCAAAGTGAACCAATTGATCATAGTACCATAAACATGGATTGCAACTCAAATTTTAAGAAATCAGATGAGTAAAACAAGCTCTATACAAACAAAACGAAATAGAAAACAATCCTGTACTGTGAAACTAATCAAATAAGTTCGTCAAGTCAAGTTTTTTAATGCAAAAATCGAAAAATTTGTGGGGGGCAATTCGAGGCAATCTTTCGCATTTCTAGTGTCTGGCATTTTGGGTGGTGAAATTTAATTACAAGTGTCCGTAGGTTGGCAACAATAGAAATTACCATTTCAGGTACTTTTTAGGTGTCCGCGTCCGCTTAATAGAGGTGTCCGCTTAATAAAGGTTTCATTTAAAGTAAATAAGGGAAATAAATTTGGGGACTTCGGCTACTGTCCGCTTAATAGAGGGTGTCCGCTTAATACAGGTTTCACTGTATACAAATTGCAAAGCACCCTGCTTCTGAGAAAATAGGCCGTGTTTGGAGGAGCGCTAGGTGCTGTTCTTAGCTCAAGCCACTGAGGTTCAAGCCTTGATTTTTGTTCAGCCTACCACCAACCTCGTTCCCAGGTTTTCTCTCCTACCCGTCGAGACGGGACGACACGGGTGTTTCTAAAAACTAGACTTCGAGACGGGTAGGAGAGAATCCTGGGAACGAGGTTGTCCTTCCACTTGCTTTTGCTTCTATTGTTTTTTATAATTAAGTTCACTTCACACCCTCGCAGTATTCCGGCCGAATAGAGATTCGTTTTTTAACGAGTGCAAGTGTCTGGAACTTTAGTGTTTAAGAAGATTTTAAAGTTTCTTCTATTAACGGTTAAGAATTTCGTTGTCGAGCCTGATATTAGTTTCAATTTCAAACTGTTTCCGAGAATTGTCAATACCAATCACAGCTTGCTTTTCAACCCTCACCTGCTTAGAGAGAATGACGGAGTCTCGTGAGATGGTTCTAAATTTTGTGAGCGGAATTCTTTGGCGTGATAATTCAAATGAACCGGATCAGCAGTACTTTTACGTGGTACTACCTGTTTCTCAGCACTCAACAAAATGAAATTTGGAGTTTTGTCGAATTTTGGATTCTTTGTGATACTTTGTGCATTGTGGAAAGGTTTGAAAAATAAAAATAAGGATGCCTGAAGTAGCCGTTTGCCGTTAACTCGCCCGGAAAAAATTCAAAACCAATTCAGAAACAAAACCTTATTCTTGGATTTAATTTAGTATTTTGTTGTTGTGTGGTATGGTAATTTGAATCGAAATTCAAATCAAATTTAAACCGGGGATAAACCCTAGTCCTTGAACCGCCATTCCAAAAGCTTCACTCCAGTTGACAGAGCTGACTTTCTCATGTGAACACAAAACCAGGTTGCTCGCACAGGCGTGGATCCAGGGGGAGGGTGCAGGGGGTGCGCACCCCCCCCCCCTGAGATGACCTGCGGCCGCTTTCTAATTAACACTGTGCAGTCGCTTGACAGACATACAAAATCTGCTCTATCGTTTGATATGTATTCTCAGCAGTTCACATTATGTTATTTCCTAGTCAAAAGCCCTCTTCTTCGTATTCGCTTTTAAAATTTTTTACGTCATCAGTCAGTTAGTGGTGCACCCCCTCCTAAGAAAAATCCTGGATCCGCCCCTATCGCATGATCGAACAAGGCCTTACGGCGTAACTGAAGACAATGTTTTTGCTTGCGTTTCAGCTGAGGACAGCAAGTTTATACCGTTAAACTACGACGATACGTTTGCCTATGGATGCCTGCATGACATACCCATTCCATTCCCAAGCAGGCCTGATACAACATTCACTCCCGAGGAAGAAAGAGAGGTTCTTATGGAAATTTTCAACAAAACAGATGGTCGTAACTGGGAAAATAATATGCATTGGGGAAACTACTCAGTGTCTCACTGCCTTTGGTATGGAATTACGTGTGAACGTACAAGTCGCTACGTTATCAGCATCTTCTTGCAAAGCAACAATTTAGTTGGGACATTTCCAGGAAACCTTTGGAAGTTACGTAATTTACAGGGATTGTGCGTTGGTAGTAACGGTGAATTGGAAGGAAGTGTCGGTAAGATTCTCTCGGGAAATATGACAGCTTTACTAAGAGCTGGCCTCGCCTTCAACAAACTGTCTGGTCCTATTCCCGGTGAGCTGTTAACACAGCTAAGGTCTATTGTAAAAATCCAGCTTTGCTGTCAAATGGGGAAAGGTATTTTTGGCGAAATACCGGAGGACATTGGAAACTTGTCGGAACTGCAGGTTCTTAGCCTTGGGGAAAACAAATTGCACGGCTTAATACCGAAAAGTATTGCAAAATTGAAGAAGCTCTGGTTTCTAGATTTGGAAACTGCAACGTATCTACGTGGAGGCTTTGAAAACTTATTCAACCTGTCATCTTTACGCTTCATGCATCTTTCACTTTCTGGACTGAACGGAAGCTTTACCTAAAAGAATTTGGGTCATATTTTCCTGCCATGATTGAGTGTCTTTTACCGGGAAACGATTTTTCTGGCAACATTCCTCCATCTTTTGGCAAAATGAAAAACCTATTGCATCTAAACTTGGCCTATAACGACTTCTCTGGAAAAATTCCAAAAAGTATCGGTGCCATCCCGAAGCTTAAAATCGCAGACTTTAGAGAAAATAAATTAACATCACTTGAGGAAGGAACTCAGTTTAAGTCCCAGTTGCTGAAGGTGTTAATTCTGTCCCGCAATAAAAAGCTCAACGTGAGTTTTGGCACCTTCTAGAAGCCGTAGAACCTGTTTAATCAGACGTTGCTTATTCTCAACGTAAGCGAGTGTCACATTCATGGCGTGATCACGGACAAGCTGTGGAATTTTCAAAGCTTAATCTCTGTAGATTTAAGTAACAATAAATTATCTGGAAAGCTTCCACCACCTCCCAATAATACCGTAACTATGTCTCTTCTTCATCTAGATGTTTCTGGAAACAACATTTCAGGCCAGATTCCAGAACAATTTGCGATGTTGCTGGCTCTTGAAGTTCTTGACGTTTCAAATAATCCTCTCATGCGGAAGGCAGACGAAAGTGGAATCCTACCAAACTATATGAAGGTTGACCTGAAAACGTTAGCGCAGCAAAAGCTATCCGACAATTTCAAATGCCCCAATGCGCGTCTTAGCTACAATAATGGATTAGTGATCTTGGATCCCAATTACTATCTCTATCGTCTATGCATTTGCGATGTTGGATATTATGGTTCAGGTAAAACATGTTTACCTTGCATGGAGAACGGGGTATGTAAGGATCAGATGCTGCCTGCACAGCACATGGTTATGAAGGTGGGATATTGGCCATCTTCACGTGACCAGAGCGTGACTCATCTAGTGCAGTGCTCACGAGCATTAGGGGCAAGTTCTCGAGCAAACACATCGTGCAACCCAACAGGACTGTGCAAATGTAGAGTTCAATGGCTGAAGCAGGGAAACAAGTCAACTATCGAACCATCCACTGTCTGCGATAAAAAATGCCTCTGTATTAAAGGAAGTAAAGACAGATTCTGCTCGCTCTGTGAAGATGGATATTACAAACAGGGAATCCTTTGCTATGCCTGCCCAAAAGCGAGGACTAGTGTGTACATCTTGGTTGCTCTTGTTGTCTTAACCATGGTGCTACTAACGCTTGCTTTTGTAGTTTTTTATGAGAAGAAACGCTTTCTGTCTATTGTGTTTGTCTTCTCTCAGATAATCCTCTTTGCGGTTTTAGCCATGCTTCGTATCATTCCCGGTTGGCTTCTTGAACTAAATGTAATCGCCCTTTTTGTTGGCTTGGCTGGAAGAGGAAAAACGGCACGTGGAATATTAAAGATAAGCGTCTTTTATTTCCAGACCTTAGACGCCTTGATTTCCAACACGGATGTTTGGCCGTACGATGTTCTTGCAGCTCAACGATATATCGCCAATGTGTTTAACCTCCGTTTCTCTGGTCTGGCTTGTGAGATTCCATTATTGTTTACGCCACTTGGCGAGCTTCTGTTCCTTATTCTCCTACCAGTGGTCTGTATCTTGGTTATCTGGCTTTATTATTGTCTCAGTTATGCCGTACTTTGGCTTCGAAATTCTCTCGACAGGCGATTTAGTTTACGAAATAGTTGTTTACAGCTTTCCATCGTGTCCCTTAACCTTACTTACTTCCCAATTGTCAAGAAAACGGCTTCTGTCCTGGCTCCATGCGGAGAAGACAACAACCACCATTTCCTCCTTGAAGCACCTTGGCTAGAATGCGAGGGTGGAGTTTACACCATGTTACAAGTGTTTGGTTGGCTTGCTTTGGTACTGTATGTGATCGGAGTGCCTTTTGGAGTATTTTTACCCCTTCTGTTGCGCAAGGTCAGCAATAGAGAAAATCTTGCGGTAGAAGACCAAGAAACCTTGGACAGTTGGCTAGGATCCATCTACCTTCCATACAAGAAAAAATTTCGCTCTTATTTCGAGGTATTATTTCTTATGCGGCGAATGCTGATTGCATTCTCACTCTCCTTCATTCCGCGGGCTTCACCATTTCAGACAATCGCAATTTGTGTGGTGTTGTTAGCATCCTTGTGCTTTCAGCTTCTCTTTAAGCCCTTCAGTAACTCTTACCAAAACTTGTCTTTGGAAAACTCAGCTGAAACAGTGGTTCTTTTAAGCCTTCATTTTTCTTTCATGAACATCAGATATGCAGCCTTGAACCAGGAATCTTCCGAGCCTATTGTCTGGATGCTTGTGGGGCTTAATTTAGTTGTGATATGCGGCCTAGTTGTTTCCATAATTCGTCTACTTGGAAGGGCCCACGTTCAACAAACTCCTACTAGGGCTCCTCAAAATGAAGGAGGCGAGGAACACGAAACGGTCACAGCTGGGCAAGCAGACGCTCCGTTGATCGCTAACAACCCTTGAGAAGAACAATAGGGGCCCCTAAATTGTTCACTTGAAGTGTCCGCTGTTTAATAGGTTTCGTTAATGTTTAAATTATGACCATGGAGTATTTTAAAAGGCAAATAACCCTCAGTAGACTATTGTGAAGTTTAGTTTGTGCCTCTCTGAAAACAGGACCAGGCGTCCACAAACTACGACAAAACTCATCCATCGTTTGAGTCAGTTGAGTAGCTTGAAAACCGTGAACTCCCTCACGAGTGCAAGTAATACTGAATAATAATGAAATGTCGCCGTCACCCACGGGTGGTTTTCATACGAGACGCGTCACTAAATTAAGACAACAGGCCTTTGTCACGCGGCGGCCATTTGTCTAAGGAGATTTAAAAAGCTTTTGTTTATGCACGGCTCGGCCTGCGTAGAGAGAACGAGGCCAGCCGTGCGTAAGCCAGGGCGATAAACAAAGCTTTTTAAATCTCCTGACACAAGTGGCCGCAGCGTGGCAAAGGTCTATGCTAAACACTGAAATAAACACTTAAAATAGACAGTAAAAACTACAAAGTCTTCTTGTTCCTATTTAAAATTGTACTAAAAATTGTAAAACAGTGTTCTGAGCTTTTCTAAACCTGCGAACATTTTCGCTGTTTCTGACTTTAAGAGGAATCGTTTCATTCTTTGAATAAAAAAAAAAAAAGAAGAAGAAGAACGTTGTTGGCCTTTACTACAATTCTCAAATCGCTGGCAAGACGCGTTTGGTATTAGAAAAAGTTATAATTGTGATCCAAAAAGCCATTAAGATGATAGGCAAGCCAATGAATGCGCTATCGAATCCGAAGATTACCGACGGTTGATAATCGCCTGATAAGATGATGAGGTTGAACCATATTTCGATCATTAACCTGGTCATGAAAAGTTCCCATGTGATCGAAGGGTAGCACTGTTAACATCATAAGAAACTATCAAAATATGCACTAACCTACGGGGCTCCCATTCTTTTTTTGATTCCGAGCGCTATTGTTTTCCTTTTTTGAATGTTCTAGCGTTGGATTCAATAACCGTTCCGATTGTGTTTAAGCAAAGGTCACAAAAAAAAAGCTTCCCAAAAATACTTAAGTGAACTAGTTGCCCGAAAAATATTAGCATAAGCTACGTAAATATTAAGACCCAAGGTAGGAAAATTAATTTTTGTGGTAAGTGGCCATTAATCATGATGTCGCAGACCGTAACTAAACATGACCACGCGCATGATAGTGCCACCAACACTTACAAATAAAAGAGCTATATTAACATCTTAAGAGCATTCCTCCATTCCAAACTTAAGGAATTGTAATTAAGCACATTCGCCGAAAAGATAAAAAGACATCTCTTGAAAGCTAGCATTATCATAGTGCCAGCTCTGGGGAAGACATAAAACAGAGAAATGGAAAAGTCAGCAAAGAGCAAGCAGCAACAGCAGGTGAACACTGGCAAAACGAGGTACGAGAGAGACATGGCAAAGTCCTTTGCCGTCATTTATCACAATCTGAAACGCCTGCAAGAAGACAAACAAAATGAGCATAAAAGGGTAAGAAGAAGCCTCAGTGAGCCACAAATTCCTGCTTTAACGCGAACTGAACACCAGCCAATCGGGAATAGACGACGATCAGATTCAATTGCAACCAGGTCTGCTGGTACAACAGATTACAAGAGAAGAGTGAGCTTTTGTGACAGCTTGAAATAAATCCAGCGTCACTTCCAGACAATATGTCTAGAGTCACCGTAAAACGCGAAAAACAATTCCCTCGCGTTTGTCACTCGGCAGTTAAATGTGTGAACCTAGTGTGAAATGTTTGAACTGTGTGAACCTAGCCATCTACATGTCAAGCAGCATGCTTGATGCTGGAAGTGGAGTGTTGCACGGTGAAGACCAACATTGTAGATTGACACGGCTTTGACGTTTGGGTGGCTCGTTAAACGGAGTTAATAGCTTAGCTGAGCTTAGTTGAGAGAGCAGTCTTTACTAAAGTGTGTTAGAAAGTTCTGCTGTTTCACTTTTGGCTCATAATTTTCTACAGGATTGATCTGAATCATAATATTTATTTAATATCTTCAATTCTACAAAAAATAATCAGATTACTACTGCATCTGAAAATTATAATTTTAAGTCTCACACTTTACTTCTATAGAGGATATTACACGGCGGTGCAAAGATATGAATTTTGTTTTTCGAGTGGTGAAAACAATATGGTTTTTCTCCACGATGAAATAAATTTCATATCTTCAAGCTACCGTGTAATTTTCTTTTTATTATATACACAAGAGTGTTTGCCATTTGTCTTTTTAATTTCTCACTCCCAGCAGAAATGTTTTCGGGAACTGCTGTAGTTTGGCGGCAGGAATTTCTTGAAGTTCTCTCCTTCCGTCCTCAGTAGTAAGGAACTCCTTGAATAATTTTAAGTCATACAAAGTTTTCTTCTTCGTTTTAACATTCTCCTGCTCTTCGGAGAGAGATTTTATGTCAGCCTCAGATAACTTCACGAATCTATCGCTCGCCATTCTTCTGTTATCATTTGGCAAACTTTGCACAAACAACAGTTTGAATAGAAAATGAAGTTATAGATATCTTTACTAGTGAAGATATGAAAAATACGCTACTCAGTCAAGTTCCAGATGTAAATCGTATGAACGAGTGGTCTATTTTCCACTAAAACACTCTTGTCTATATAATAAATAATATTATTCCACTCACTAAAATTTAGCTTTGCTAAAACCTGAGTTAGCTTGCTTTCGATCCTGCTGTTTATCTCAATGTTGTGAGTAGAGAGAGGCTTACTGTGGACGTTGTTTTAAACGATCAACTAGGGACCAGTCGCTTAAAAGGAGAATTTACGTTCTTCCAGTCTTTATCGCGATTTTTCGTACCCATTTACTTTATCAAAAGTAGGCGAACCACCTGGAGTTGAATTCCTAGGATGTCTATCCAAATTCAGAGAGAAACTGGAGAAATAGAGATATTTAAGTACTCCAAGGGAAATTTTGCTGATATCAAATCTGAATTATTGGACTTAGGCCTATATTTCTTGGATGATCTGCGAGCAGGAACGGTACAGGAAAAATGGAATAAGCTAAAGCAAAAATCATTCTCCCTTGTAGAGAATTACATTCCTGTTAAGTATACATCAACCAGGTATAACCCTCCTTGGTTTAATCAGACCTTAAGAAAATTAAATCGGAGAGTTCAGCGGTTATATAATGTACAGAAACGAATCAGATTATGATAGAGCTAAGTATAGAGATGCGAGGAAGATATAAAAGAAGAGTCAGCTCAATAAACCCTATTGGGAGTACATTAATGGTTTACTCGATGCCTCCATTCTTGAATAGCCGAAGAAATTTTGGAGCTTCATTCAATCTAGAAGACAAGATTACATTGGTGTTTACCCATTACAGCAAGATCTGACAACTGTTTCCGACAGTTTAGGCAAAGCCAACCTACTGAATAATTATTTTTATTCTGTATTCACTAAGGAGGATAAAATCATCCTACCCAAATATGGACCAGGTAGTAATTAAATCTACAGGCATTCAGAAACTATTAGATTCTCTTAATATTAGATTCTCTTAATGTAAATAAAGTAGGTAGTCCTGACAATGTGCCTTCACGTATTCTTTGAATTAGTTCATTCTCGTGCTTGCACAGAGTCTGCACAGCTTTTCCAACAATCTCTTAATCAGGGTATGCTACCCAATGACTGGAGAACGGCAAATGTTGCTCCAGTCTTTAAAAAGGGCAAAAGGTCGCTTGCAGGTAATTACAGACCAATATCATGCGCTAACATCAATTACTTGCAAAGTCTTGGAGCGTGTCATTTGCCACCATATTTGGGAACACTTAGAGAACCATAATATGCTCACAGACTTCCAGCATGGTTTCCGTAAACGAAGAAATTCTGAAACGCAAGTTATCACATTACAGGATTTAGTGGATGCGGTAAATAATGGTAATCGATGCCCTTGTATTAGATTTCTCTGAGGCATTTGATCGAGTACCACACCAAAGACTACTCTATAAGCTAAGCCATTATGGTATAAATGGTAACATAAATAAATAAATAAATAAATGCTGGATTGGGATGTTTCTGACCCAGAGAACACAGAAAGTAACCTTGGAGGGAATTGCGTCTAATCGATGTGATGTAATCCCCAGTGTTTCCTCAAGGTACTGTTATGTGACCGCTGCTTTTCCTATTATACACAGGAGCCCATTATTGATGGGCTCCTGTTATACATTAATGACTTGCCATTAGGTATTTCCTCTACAATAAGGTTATTTGGTAATGATTGTTCCCTGTATCGTACTATAACTGGTCCCATGGATAACCAAATCCTTCAGGATTACTTAAATGCTCTATCCAAGTGGGAAAAGGACTGGCACATGTCATTTAACATAGAAAAATGCCATACAGTCTCCTTCCCTACAAAAATGAATATTGTTACACCATATGTCATCTTGATTGCCATACATTAGATAGGGGCCACCACCATTCATATCGAGGCATTATGCTCTCACAGGACTTGAAATGGACAAATCATGTTGCGCAAATTTCCTCAAGTGCTAAGCAGACTCTTGGCGTTATTAGGAGGACTCTAGGCGTTAGGAGAATTCTCGACAGTTTTGCAAACCCTCGACTTCATCTCGGGTTTGCATAACTGTCTTGAATTCTCCCAACCCCTCCAGTGTTTATGTCAGGCTATGCAAACACGGAAAACGTTTTCTATTGCTTAACTAACTCCTTTTTCCCATAACTCAGGAGATGTTAATTCTACGTTATCTCTGAGACCTCATCAGCATGCAAATATATAACTTCTTCCCATGGACCATTTTACACTGG